ACCATAGTAGTAATGTGATAGGAAAATTTAAGTCTAGGATCCATGTAGACTCCAAGGTCGTCAGCATGCGTTATCCTATCTAACGCACAACCACTCAAAGTATACGTTGAGTAGTGGGGGCTGACACGAAAAAAGGTCATTAGTTTACACTAAGAACCATTTAAATTCAATTCATTATCCATGCACCATGTTTGAAATGCATTTAGATCCGATTGTAAAGCTAAACTTTGGGCGGGGTCATTATATTGCAGGTACAACTTAACGTCATCTGCGTACATAAGAACCCGTGACTTCGTTAAGACCAATGGAAGGTCATTTATAAATAATGTAAACAGGAGAGGACCAAGATGACTTCCTTGTGGTACACTGGAAGTAACTCGGATTAGGGATGACAAAGAGTTTTTAAAAATGACCCTTTGAGTCCTATCATTCAAATAACTTAAAATCCACCTAAGAAGATCACCAGAAAACCCTAAAAGGTCCAATTTCCGGACTAAAATCGGGTGACTTACAGAATCAAACGCCTTACTTAAATCAGTGTAGACCACATCAGTCTGACGATTCTTTCTAAAACCTCCTATAACAAATGAAGTAAACTTCAAAAGGTTGGTTGTCGTTGACCTACGTTTTATAAATCCGTGTTGACAAGAGGAAATAAGGGACCTACAACTGTGTTGTAAATGAGGCGTAATAATGTTCTCAAAGAGCTTCGGTATAGCTGATAGCTTTGAAATACCTCTGTAATTACATGCGTTCAATTTACTCCCTTTTTTATGAAGCGGGATAACAAACGATTCCTTCCATCTGTGTGGGAAATCGGATGTTTCTAAAAACAAAGTAAACAGTTTGTGCAATGGTCTACACAAAGTCTCAGCGCAATACCTAAGCACACATCCAGGGACTCCGTCAGGACCCGGACAGTAGACTGGTTTGACCCTTTGCAATTCTAAAAGAAGTGAGCTTTTACTTATAACAGGACAACAAATAAAGTTTGATTTAGGAATGACATATGGGTAAGACTGATCTGGAGGACTTGATGTTGAATAGGTGGTTTGAAAAAACTGTGCAAAAAGATCGGCTATGGCTTGATCAGTGCTAGCAGCCGAATTTTCAAATTTAAGTGATGATGGGTAACTAGAAAATTTACGCTTTGTGTTAACATAATTATAAAACTGTTTTGGATCCAGTGTAAACTGGGTCTTGCAACGAGCTAAATAGTTTTTATAACACTGGGCGTTAAGCACGGTGAAATCAGACCGAGCACTTAAGTATCGGGAAAAGGCAGCTTGTGAACCTGAAGCTCTAAACTTTTTGTAGAGTCTAGACTTTACATTTTTAAGTCGTGCCAGCTCTTTGTTAAACCACGGATGTTGGTTTGAAGTTTTAAGATAATACGTAGGAACGCATGTATCAAAAACTTCGTTTAATATGTTATAAAATATATTAACCGCTTCATTTATATTAGTACTTAAGTACAGATTGGACCATTCCGAGCAACCTATAAGGCTATTAATGAGTGCAAAGTTCGCTTTACGAAAGCAGGGGATGCGTTTAGCTATTTTTTCAGATACTTCATACACTTTTGTACCCGTGTCAATAGTCAGCTCTAGCGTTGGGTGATAAGGGTCTTCTGGTAAAGTAATTGCAGAGGTTCTAGCTATGCAGACACAATCTGGACTGGAAACAAAGCATAGATCCAGTAATCGTCCTAAGAAATTTAATACATGATTTACTTGAGACAATGAAATATCAAGCAAACCGTCAAGAAAATCATGCTGCGTTGAAGGTAACAATATATTTGAGGTTTCGACGGTGGACCATGTCGCCCTAGGTATATTAAAGTCACCTAAAACTATTAACTGATCCCTATTTGATAGTTTACTTGAAATAAACTGGATAGCGGACAGATGATTCGCATATGTCGGGAATTCCGATGATGGCGGAATATATGAACATGTTATGTATATAGAAATACCCGGAAGGGATAGTTTTATACACAGAAATTCAATGTCATTTATTTCGTCGGACGTTATTACTTCAGACGTTAATTCGGAGTCAACTGCAATTAAAACTCCACCTCCACGTCGAGACGGACGATCAAGCCTGTAAGTTGTGTACTTACTTGGAAAAACTTCGGAACTTAGAACTTCCGGTTTTAACCAGGTTTCAGTAAAAACAATAACATGGGAAGACAAGGAAAAACTATCAGTATACAATTTGGTCAACTTACTTTGTAAACCTCTTGTATTCTGATAATAAAGCTGAAGAAAAGAATCTAGTTTTTTGAGATAGATGAGGATGTAGATGTGGATGGCTCTTTAAAGGGATTTCCAACTTCCTTTGAACGAATTTTCTTTTTTTTAGCTTCGTACTCTTTAACAAAAATGCCAACAGGCCAAAAATTGGCTGAGCACATAGTTGCAAAATGAGCACAGGGAACACCGATCTTAAAAGATGATACTTCCCTAGCATATGGAAAATTAAATCGTTCTACCTTTAGATCATCAATCTGAACTTTGTTACGGATATAGGCCGTAATGTCCAGCGATGAAAGGTCAGGATTTAGCCGAGAAACAAAAATTTGTTTCCGCTGCGGTACACAGGTGACTGTTTTAGGTACCACGCCTGTGACAGGTTTTGGTACTACGGCATTTACGGCTGCACTACCAGTTTCATTCGGTACTCCGGACGTTAAGTGTTGACTTGGCGTTGGAATTATTAAAGTATTGTTTATAGCAGATTTTTCGGGCTTCTCATGCGGCAAAATCTCGCGTCCTTTGCATTCGGAAACCGAATCTTTTTTAGCTTTCGATCTCAGTACCATTTTAGAGTTCCACTCAAAGAGTTCATTTTGTAGAAAAGATATATTGTTTATTAAGGAAAAAATTTCTAAAATATCTTTATAGATGCAGTAAAACTTGTAAAAATTCCCAAAAGTATAAACGAAGATGCTCAGCACTTTCTCGATTTTTGTTCAAACCCATTTATTTACAAAGCCTCGGAGCATAGACTTCTAAAAAAACTGAAAAACAAAGATACTTTTGCCAATCCAGTTTCCTTTAATGTAAACAATAAGATTTCACCAGTTATAAAAAAAAAAGATTCCACACTAGACGATGCAAAAGATAATGGTTGCTTGATGGACATTACCTTTCAAGTTCGCAAGTTCTTTGAATTGCCAAATTTTTTGGATGATACCATACAAGAAATATCAAAACGAACATTAAGTCCTAAAACCGATCATTTCGTCAACTCGGTTTCTTATAAAAATAAATTATCTTACAACTATCAAAATAAAATAGTTATTCATTTGTTTGTACCTGGATGGTTTTTAAATCAATAACCCCTTATGCAGCTATGCTATTGTAGATAACATATGCGGTGTTTTATACACGTTCCCCACAATACCGCAGCAATTGCTTTCTAAGTTCGATTTTATATTCGTTGCTGCCTATTTCAAAACGACTCTAGGTAATCAATTTGGAATAGATATATTTCTTCAACCGCTTGTAAACAATTTAAAGAGTCTTGAAAGTGAAGGCATTGTCATTAGCACTGATTTAGGTTCCAAACGGTTTTTTTTTGTTTTATGTAACATATTGGGAGACAACTTAGGTTTAAATGAAGTTCTTGGGTTTAATACCTCCTTTAATTCCAATTCTTGTTGTCGATTATGTCCAAAAACTAAGCAAGACCTCAGAAAAATGCAACCCCTGACCAAGAGTGTTTTAGAAATATACAAAATTATGAATAAGCCCTTTTGCAGGATGATGTAATTAAAATGAGTGGACCACCAAAACACTTTTGGAGTCTCCGATTTGAAGGCTAAAGTATATTCGCATAATATTACTAGCAGGTAAAATATTTCTTAAACTTTAAGCATGAAAGCTGCATTGAAATATAGTCAGTTCTAACAAAACTATGATAATGGCTTACCAAACATATTTACAATTATAAAAAGCGAACATTGCATTATGGAAAAGTCTGAATTTAACTGTGCCAAGACTAATATTATATTTATGGATAAAAGTCATAAAGGAGTTGGATTTTAAAGGTACCACGTACAAAGAAGAACACTTTTTAACTAAAAATGTTTCATCAGTTATAGAGCTCTACGAAATCGTTCGAATTTTCAGAAGCGATATTAATGAAATTTATTTCACAAGAAAATAATTTTTTGTGCGCATCTTTAATGTGCATTACCAATCCTTTGAAATTGGCTCACTTATAAATAATACTAAGATAATAAATATAAACGAATTTGAAAGTCAACCAATTCTTGTATATTATACACCAACTGGTCTCAAACTGATAAGAAAAAAAATACTTTAGTGTATTTAATTATGATAAATAATTTTTAGTTACAATTATTTTTTAAAAGTAACATAAGACTTTGAATGAAAATAAATTTAAAAATAAAACTACAAAAGTGTATCTCTCAATAAAACGATTTTAATATAAAGCTGGATATGAATTAGATGTCGAATTGCTTTGACAAAATATCAGTTTGATATGAAAGAATTTCAGTTAATATATATATCTATATCTAATATATATTAGATAATTAATTAATATATATATATATATCTATATATATAGAAAAACATAACGTGCTAAAATGAATAAAAGCCCAAATTTATATGAAAAAATATCAGTTTCAGTTGGATATTAAAAAATACCACACTTTGGTCACAACTTTGATATGTGCGCATATCAATCTGGTATGAAAAATACCAATTTGACATGTTCGAAAATATCAATTTTATATGTTTGAAAATATGAATATGATATGGCAACATAAGGGATCAAAATTGATATGCAAAAATACCCGATTGATGACCAGTTTTGGTATTTTATTTTCTCTGTGTAGGTATTTTTTAGATGTATGTTTAGGGAAAAATTGAATATGTGTTTTTAAGAGTTGACCTTGTCTGATTTGGTTTTCGATTGCATCAGGCCGTGAATTTGCAGTATTTACTCTTAAAATTTTCTGAACTTACCTTCCGCTCCGTTTATCATGCCGTCGTTGACGTTTCCACTTTCTAAAGCGCCCCCAGAATTTCCACTGTTGGCACTCTGCAACACATCAATCCCACCGCTGTATATACCATTCTCCTGCTGCATTTGATTTAAAAAATGGGTTTCCTTGGCACGCACCACTTCGTTCAGTCCCCTGTTGTGACCGAGTGGCTGCTTCCGACGCGGTTTTCCAGTTGTTTGAACGTAAGGTTGTGGTGTCGTCGGCGGCTTGGGCGGTAATCGTAGTTCTGGAAGACATTGCACCAATTGTAAAATACGGAACGCTAAGGCTATAGCTCACAAACCAACTGGGGTGGAAGGTCGTGGCGAGAAAATATGGAAGCGTCAAAAACAACAACATAACAGCAATGTTCACCCAGAAAAAATAAAGATTCAAAAGTCAAGCCAAACCAGATTAAAAGGAGCGTAAAAAAGCCCTTTTATTTACAACTCATGAACGCTCGTTCATAAAACTTGACCGGGGTTTCGGGGTTAACCCACAATTCACAACCGACTTCCTGCGGGCTCGAACCTGCGCTACCATGTGCCAAAGTCGGACGCTCTAGCAGCTGGATCATCGAACGAATCGGACAATCGAGACACCAGACCCACATACATGTTTTCATAAATAGTGTTGATAAATTAAGAACCGTGTTCTCCCCATTTCTGTCAAGGAATTTTTCAGTGACGCTTCACCTAAATGTTTATGATTTGCGAACGGATTGTTATCAAATCTCGAAAAATGTTCATGATTTTTTTTGCTCTCTTTTTTCTGTGTGTTGCTGTTCGCTTCGCGGGGGAGAGCACATCTTCTGCTGTCTCCTTCTAACGTTGCCCCCTTTAAGGTTGCTTGATGCATAGTGGCTAAAATAAAATCGATATCCTTACAAGTAGGTCTACAATTGCAAATACAACAAATTTGTGATTCCACTCCGAAGATATTTAATAAAGCAACTTTACAATAGTTAACTGGTTACTCGTAGAGTAAAAGGGTATATTGTATTCGTCCGTCTGGCTGTCAGTCCGTAGTTGAGATCACAGAAACTGTAAAAGCTAAACATTTGAGAGCACACAGATTCTAGGAGTTTCTTAAGCAGCGGAAGCTTGTTTCAGCGAAGCGTCACGACCACTCTAACGCCAACAAGCGCCCATATTATAGAAGATTTTCTTTTAGTGAAAATTGAAATTGATTTTATCGTACCAATCGCATTGTCATTTTAAAAGTAATGACTAAGTTAAACAGACTTTGGCATGGTCAATAGTACCGTTGTCTTTGATGGCTTGTGCCGCGATGTGTGATGGCTGATAGCCGAGACACTCAGCTATTGCGTTTCTTCTTCTTTAAAATATAAAAACAAGCTGGTGAATTTATTTAAGTTCCTAAATATCCCATACCTCAAAAACATAACAAAATAAGGAAGAACGCTACAGTCGGGTACCTCGACTATCAGATACCTGTTACTTAGCTTAAGGGACAAAAGGGAAATGGAGATACGAGGGCAGTCCGATAAGAACTTAGCCTCACCGCCCGATGGCGTCACTATCGCAAGAGAAATTTACTATCGTGTAGTACATTCTCGTAGACGGCTACAGTCGAAATTTCAGTTGAATCGGACTCGTAGTTTTGATTTGACGGCGTGTGGAATCGGACGTGTCCGCGGATTTTAGAAAAATGGAGAAAGAGAAATATCGGTCTGTGATTCGATTCTTGTTTTTGGAAGGGAAATCGGGCAGCGAAATCAAAGAGCGCTTGGGTGCTGTGTACGGTGACTCTTCTCCTTCGATGGCGACCGTCAAAAATTGGTTTAACGAGTTTCAACGTGGGCGCACATCGGTTTTTGATGGGCCACGCCAAGGTACCCCGAAAACGTGACAAAAATTCACGATCTCGTATTGGCAGACCGCCGATTGAAGATACGCGAGATACCTGAGACAGTATGTCAAAAGACCGCGCGGGTCATATCCTGCATGAAATTTTTGGCATGAGAAAGCTGTCGGAGCGATGGGAGACCAGAGATCAGAGCAGTGTTTGACGCTGTTTAAGCGCAACCCAAAGAAGTTTCTGCGTCGTTTCGTGACCGTCGACGAAACATGGATCCACTGGTACACACCAGAGACCAAGGAACAGTTGAAACAGTGGACTTCACCCGGCGAACATGCTCAGAAGAAGGCGAAAGGTGATGGCCACCGTTTTTTGGGATTCACGAGGTGTGATCTACATCGACTACCTGGAGAAGGGCAAAACGGTCACAGGGCTGTACTATGCCGCATTATTGGGCCGATTCGCCACCGAATTGCAGAAAATACGGCCACATTTGGCGAAGAAAAAAGTGCTCTTCCATCATGACAAAGCACCAGCTCACACTTCCGCCCTCGCCAAGGCCAAATTGGTCGACTTGGGCTACGAACTGCTACCCCACCCACCATATTCTCCAAATATGGCCCCGTGTGACTTCTTTTTGTTTCCAAACTTGAAAAAGTCACTCGCTGGACAGAAAATTTGCGTCGAATGAGGAGGTCGACGCCGCCACAGAGGCCTATTTTGCAGACCTCGAGAAAACGTATTTTTCAGACGGGTTAAAGAAGTTTGAGCATCGCTGGGTCAAGTGTATCGAGCTAAAAGAAGATTATGTTGAGAAATAAATCGCCACTTTTCCAAAATTTTCGTTTTTGTTTTGGGGGTTAAGTACTTATCGGACCACCCTCGTATGCAAGCAGCAAAGCGAGATTGAAATGCCCCCTACCCGCGATCTCAAAAAATGATTTAAGCGTTATAGGTGTTAGAGTGGGCGTGGCAAGCTTTTTATGGAACAATCAATAGGTGTTGACGAGACTAACACATTTCATAATAAAATTTGTTATCTAGCATGAAAATTGCGGGCGCCACAGCTTTGGGCCGTTTTTGGGCGTTAGAGTGCGCGTGGCATATTCGCGTAACAAACTTGGGCTGCTTTCAAGGCTACGGAATCTAAATCTAATAACGCATTTCTCTATCTTTGATAGTTTCCGAGATATCCGCGTTCATACTTACGATTTTTTAAAGTTTGTGGGCGGCTTGTGGGCGTTAAAGTGGGCGTGGGTCAATCGATAGGTATTGATGAAAACAATACATATCAGTTAACATTTTTTTTTTAGGATCAAAACTGTAGGAGCCACAGTTTTGGGCGGCTTGTGGGCGTTAGAATGGGCATGGCACCCTGCTGAAACAAACTTGCGCTGCGCAAGAAGCTCAGGAATCTGCATGCCAAATCCCAGCCTAGCTCTTATAGTTTCCAAGATCTCAGCGTTCATCCGGACGGACAGACAGACGGACATGGCTAGTTCGACTCGTCTAGTGATCCTGATCAAGAATATATATACCTTATGGGGTCGGAATCTACGAGCAACGGGTATAACAAGAAAGGAAGTTAACTTCGGGTAGCCGAAGTTTGTATACCCTTGCAGTTATAATTATTAAATTCGAAATTCTTAAAAAAACATAAAAATATATTCCCATGACAAGATAATATGTTAAAAAAACACCGAAGCAATAATTTTTTTCATATTATTTTCCCACCAATTTAAACCGATCCGGCTGGTTCCGACTTAATTGTTACCTGCAAAAGAAATAAGACTTTTGGAAAAGTTTCAGCCCGATAGCTTTAAAACTGAAAGACTAGTTTGCGTAGAAACGGACGGACAGGCGGACATGGCTAGATCAACTCGTCTAGGGACGAAAAAGTAAATTTTAGAATGTGCTTTTATTTTTTCGAAAGTAAAATTATTTTTCGTCACAAATTATGATACCAGAAATTTTTTATGTTAAAGGTGCAGTCGTCATTTTTATACCCGTTACTCGTAGAGTAAAAGGGTATACTAGATTCGTCGGAAAGTATGTAACAGGCAGAAGGAAGCGTTTCCGACCCCATAAAGTATATATATTCTTGATCAGGATCACTAGCCGAGTCGATCTAGCCATGTCCGTCTGTCCGTCTGTCCGTCTGTCCGTCTGTCCGTCTGACCGTCTGTCCGTCTGTCCGTCTGTCCGTCTGTCCGTCTGTCTGTCCGGATGAACGCTGAGATCTCGGAAACTATGAGAGTTAGGCTATTGAGATTTGGCGTACAGATTCCTGAGCTTCTTACGCAGCGCAAGTTTGTTTCAGTAGACTGCCACGCCCACTCTAACGCCCACAAACCGCCCAAAACTGAAACTCCTACAGTTTTGATGCTAGATAGAAAATTTTAACTGAAATGTATTGTTCTCATCAATACCTATCGATTGACCTAAAAAAAAGTTTGCCACGCCCACTTAAACGCCCACAAACCGCGAAAACCTGTGACGCCCACAATTTGGATGCTAGATGAAAAATTTTAACTGAAATGTATTGGTGTCGTCAATACCAAAAATAATGATCCAAAAATAAATTTGCCACGCCCACTCTAACGCTCATAACGCTTAAATCTGTCTACCGCCGGTAGGTGGCGCATTTTAATTTCGCTTTGCTGCTTGCATATCTCCATTTCCCTTTGAGTAACGGGTATCTGATAGTCGAGGTACTCGACTATAGCGTTCTTCCTTGTTTTTACCTCGGTTTGAGGTATTTTTGTTTCATATCAAAAGTTTTTAAAGGGACAATTTATTTCCTAGGTTTAATTTACATATTAATTACCTCAATACCATGACCAAAAGTCATCCTCATATAACTTAGTAATTAAAAAACTAGAGCGCATAGGATTGACCCCTGATGATCTTAGCTGAACGGAGGGTTCAGTATGACGATTTTTGCCAGCCAAAAAATAAATGTGTTCACTGTTTAATAACAACTTTAAATATACCCATAATTCGTCTCAAATTTTGAAATTATCTTTTAACATGAAACAGTATATATACATCTTTGCTGTTTCGTGACCAAGAACATTAATGGATTGTTGTATCATTAGCTTTGTAAAATGTTCCATCTTTTCTTAAAACTTATGCATGGTGAAATATGGCATTTGATAAAATATATCTTTTATTTTTAAATCTAAGCTCACTTTGTGTGGCGTTTGTTAAATTAAAATTGGTTATTTTTCTATTTGCTGCATCGACTAAACTAGTTGAGAACACAAGTACCCGCCCTTAATTTTTTATTAACGACTGAAATTGTAAATAGTTTCCGCAATGTGCACACTCGCTATCTTCAATATTTTTCCTATTTCCACAATTAAACGATATTAATTCATTTATTATGCATTTTCTGTCTATAGGAACACAAAGTTCAGCAATTAC